ATGAGGATGCAAGAGAGAGGGAGGTGCAGATGGAGTCCCTGCTCTGTGCCTTCGAGACCCTGGGCAAAGCCTGGCCAAGGAGCCCGGAGACGCAGCGTGAGTCATCTGACAGTGAGCTCTGAAATCCCTCCCCTTCAAAGGAGGAGGGGGTGGAGAGAGGGACTTTGAAATTTGGTGTAGGGAAGCTTTTGAGAAGATTTGTGGATATGTTGGGAAAAAAAAACAGGGTGCTTTTGTTAGTGGGGCAGAAAGAGGCTGCTTTTCTTCCAGTGTTTCTTAGTGAGTGTGGTGCCCTGCCTTGGTGGGTGAAGGTTTCTGGAACCATTTGTTGCAGTGTTGACTTGATCCTATGCTACAAATCTTGGGTGATGTAACTTGAGTACAGGATAAGGAATATGTAGGAGACAGGGCAGGAGGTGATTCCTTCTGCCTTTCCCTGTTGTGACCAGTTGTTGTGAACAGTAACATACTTCCTTGATTTTTCTGTAGGTTGCTATCGCCAGGAGTTTTGCAAGTTAATGTGTGACCATCTGAAACTGAGCACATGGAAAGTGCAGCTTGGAGTGCTGCAAGCTATGAACGCCTACTTTCAGAGGTAATTCTCATTTCTGCCATTCGCTTCAGTTACGTTTCTTTACTGCTTCAAACTGTTACATTATGAAAGACATGCAGTGATTCTCAGAGGAAGGTAGAGCAGATCTCTTTCCTAGTGATACAGAGTGACTGCTGCTGCATTTGACAGGTTGGTGCTGTTTGAGGAGGAGCATGCAGACCCTGGAGCATTAACAGAAATACTGTTGGAAACCTGTTCATCTATCACCCATTCTTTAGGTAAGTGGATTTTGCACAGCTTAAGGTTGATAATGAATTGCACGTTAATATATTTCTCCTTTGGTCGCTGGCTAGCAGAGAAAATGCAGAATAAGTATAGGCTGCCAGAGATAGCACCTCATCCTGCCTTGCTCTGCGGTAGCTGCTAAAAATGGTGTAGTACAAGATGCTGTTCTCAGGGAAGTTAATTCCTCTTGTGCTTGTGTACCATCACTAAATACTGTTTGTTAAAATCCGGGTGATTTATAGCCCTTAAAATTTAGCAAAGAAAAGGTCTGTGATGCACAGAGGTTGTTTATCAACAAAGTGCAGATATTTGAACCTTGCTGCCGTTCAACATGTTCAAGGAGCAGTAGACCTGTGTTACTGGGAGGATGATACACAGGGCTTAGGGGACCTGTTAGCCTCTCTTTGGTCACTTTCTGCAATTGAGACGTGTCTGACAGGGTAGCGCTGCAGTCTGGCAGTGTGAATGAGCTAATGCTATGAGCAGTCTTCAGATGGTGACTTCAGGTGGTGACTGCTCTGTGTACAGGTGGTGTTCCTTTGGCTATGAGTTCAGTTGTTTTTGTCTTGTTGTTGTTTCTGTTTTTAAATCCCTTAGAAAACAAAAGCTACACATCCGTCAGAACAGAAGCTTTGTCTGTGATACAGCTACTGCTCACCAGACTGCAAGGTGAGACTCTGTTCTTGCCGTGTGGGAGAATTGCTGTTGGGTAAAGAAAAGCATGTGGCCGTGTGACCTGGAAGAGGAGAGAGAGAATTATCTTCTGTTCTGGGAGATTTAGGGATGTATTAGGACTTAGATTTTTTCCCAGTCAGCTGTTTGTTGACTGGAAAAACTTGAAGACAGTTTGAAGCAATTGTGGATAAAGTTGTATCTAAAGTAGACTGTTCAGGCTGGACCAAGCATTGTCACTGTGAGTGACATGTAAGTGAGTGCTCCTTCAGCCTGTGTGGGGATGGGGACTGTTTGTTGGTGTGGACTCTTGACATGCCAGTATTCTTATCATGTCATTCTCTTTCTACACAGAGTCTAAACAGTGGGAAAGTCTGAAACCAGAAAGCAGAGAGCACCTTATCCACTCTTTATCTACAATGGCATCAGACAGCAGACCTGAGCTACAGGAAAAGGCATTTGTATTGAAGAAAACGCTTGAAAATCTAAACTAAATTGTAAAAACATCAACTACGAAGTGCCATGTAAAACAAAAAAAAAAAGTGCAGTGGTCTGAAAACCAAGTGGGAAAATGAAGATTCTGTAGCATGCATCATTCCTGGCCAAAATAAAAAATGCCTTAAGTTCTGTTCCCCATTAATGTTACTTTTACTCTTTTGAGCTTATTATTAGTTAGTATTTTGTCAGTAAATACCTCTTGATGATCTGCCCTAGAATGTTTCTAAGTGTGCATAAACATAAAAAAAAAAAATGTTGAGGGCAAGATGCTTTTATTTCCCTTTCAGTCAGCAAAAGAATGTTACTCAGATCCCCATTGTCCTTCAAAGCAATTACTGAAAAACCACCAGCACAGGAAGTGAAAAGCTTCACTTATGTCATGTGTGGAGATCTGTTACCTGGTGTTGTTGAGACTCTACAGTAGGGCTAGTGTTCATTACCTGTAAAGAATGAAACGCTGCCTCTGAAGTCTGCGTTAAACTCCTGTGGCTTCCAGGGGCAGCATTTCATCCAGCACCCACCTCTGCTTCTCATATTTGCTCCTCCCTTGCAGCCTCTTGTCCATGAGCTATGAAAGGCAGAGTACTGTTAGCTTCTCTCCTTCTTCTCTGACCTCAGAATGGATTGACCGAGGCTTTGCCTTCCCCATCTGTAACCTCGGCCTCCCAAACTTTAAATGAGAACTTTCTTTCTCAAAGGATGCACAAGAGAGCACTTTACTGAGCTGTGTGGGACAAAATTGGGCCTCTTTGGTGCCCAGGTAGAACACTGCTCTTCTCAAAATTGTTTTGCATGGACACTCCTCAGCTGCAGGAAAAAAAAAAAAAAAAAAAAAAGGGAAAACAATCTTTTCTAGATATGTTTTTGAAGAGTGTTCGAAGTTTGCAATGATATTTTTAAATAGTGGTAATATTTTTTCCCCTTCATGTTCGTAACTCTGTTCTTGCTTTGGAAACCTGTACTGATTTAGAATTGTCAGTATTTGTAAGGAACTGAGTTGTATGTTGTTTCTCAGCAGCCCAAGTGATGCTGGTTTCTAGCGAATACTTTTTAATTTGCACTTAAGAAGAAAGATTATATCTGCATTAACGTGGAGTAAAGTTGCTATTTGATGATGTGGCCGTGCTGCCTGTCCCTTGTTGCCCTCCTCAGATGAAAGACAAACCTGACCACTACAGCAACAGACTTTTCATAGCATAAAGTTAGCGCTGCACCACAACCTGGCCAGCCGCGTGTGTACAGTTTTTTGGGGATAAATGCTTTGCTGATGGTGAAATAAAATCATTGTTGTGGGTACCACCATGTCCATGGTTTCCAGCACAGGAAAGCTTGTTTCTTTTCCTACAAGCCGTGGAGCTCTTTTCAGAGAGGATCTGTTAGAACAAGAATTGTTCAGATAACATCACCTTTCCTCCGTATCCATTTATTCAGAATCAGGTGTACAGTACCTACTTTTCCCTCAGGTGCCATTTCCCATTCAGTATTTCCTGGTACTGTAACATCCAGTTGTCTGGCTTTGTCCATGGGAAGGGAGGAATGTAGTTTTCACACATCTGGTAAGAAAATATCTGCAAAAATGGGCAGAGCTGTCCCACTGTGGCTCTTGTGTAGCAGAACCCTCAGCAAGCACTAATGCATTGTACACTAGGGCTGGTCAGCAAGCAACTCCTTGGTGCTGGGAGCTGGTGCTATAACACTTTGATTTACACCTTGTTGCAGGGAGCTGCTCTTTGTTTACGTGTAGCTTGAACTATTGAGCACAGTGTATATTTTAAAACTTTACTGGGCAAATCACTTTACAGTATCTACAAATTTGCTTGCCATGACGTGTATTGTCATGAGCACTCATTTATTTTGTATTAGATGAATATTACCAGTGATGCTTTGCTGTAGCAGTTCATTGTCTGACTTGGGTTTTTTCTTATTTGGTTGGAGTGACAGTTACAGAAAACAAGTCTCCAGGTCTCTGGTAATCTGATTTTTCACTGCGGACTGGAGTATGTGGAGGCAGTGCCTCATGTCGAAAGGCTGTAAGGAGAACTGTACTAATTGTCAGTAGCAGCCTGACTTTGTTTATTGGGGATTTACACTAGAGGGAAGAGCATATTCTAGGAACTCTAAAAACAGCTGGCTTTACAGCTCTGGCCGAATGTTCGGAAGGTTAGAGGTGGTTTACTACTGTCTGAATAACAAAGCAATATGTCTTTCTCGTGGCTACAGAAGAGATTCAGAGCTCCTCTCTAAAGCACGTGCCTATACACAGAACCTACCTGTACAACAGTTAATTCAGTCAGAGGCTTGATTTCTACCCCCCTCATTTGTAAAAGTGACAGGATTAAAAAATTAGTAGATGTGGCCTTCCTAGAGTTTTTCCTCTAAGAGTGATTGCACTATGTAAAACACACTGTACTTTGCCCAGCCTGGGCATCCTTGTGCTGCTGCAATGCTGCTTTGTATACCAGGGGTGCAGTGCGCAGATTTGACACTAGCACTCATTCTGACCTACAAGCTGTTGCTTAAATGGATGTATATTGAGAAGTTTTCTAATGTTGCAAGATCTCCATCAAACTCACTGCAATCTGTACTGTCGAAGTATGTAAAGGGACTGACTGAAAGAAAACCCTGTTGCTTACCAAAAAGGTAAAACTAAATAAAAGATGCATGACCTGTTCTTGGCAGTAACTGGTAATTTTTCCCCTCTCCCAGTGAGATTTTTCAGTATTGCTCCAAATGCAAAAATGAATAGGAGTTGGGAGTGGAATGAATTACATCTGTAAGTGTGTTTATCATATGTAAAGATGTGTTGTTTTTTTTTTTAATATCTGATGGGTGTGTGCTTTACGTATGTATATATGGAAGGTCATGAGATGGCTACAAGAGAACAAATCCAGTATTTTGGGATGCTGGCTACTTCTCTACCAAGTAACTGGTTAAAGCAGCTTCTGCCACATTGTCAGTGGCATACAGAAATCAAACTCTAACCACACAATCGTATAGAGCAGGTATGTTTAATTAGCGCTGCGCGCATGCCGGATGCAGGGGGGGATATTTCCACCTAGACTGCATACTGGAGGGCAAGAAAGGCACATATTTAAAGAGCAAACTGCTTACGTATACAGTAGATGTCAAAGAAAAGGCTGGGTTATTACAATGAGTCCCCAGAATGTTTGACATCCCCTCCCCCACCCCAAGTCTCAGCTCTTTTACACACATGTATCTCTCAGTGGTCTTTCTGATGAAGGTCGTCTTGTTTTCTTGGACTTGGTTAAGATAGAGGCTTGTCTGGCTCTGGTTGGTCATCTCATCAGCCACAACTCCATTCACAATCTGCTGCTTCTTTGTTAATTTATGGTTTGCCATTTTAGTCTACAGTCTTGCATTCCAGAGATAGGGGAGCTAACGATGTTCTTTGAAAACACAGGAGATCTGCTGTCAGCACTAATTGTCTAAGCTTGCAGAAGAGCATCTGCTTACATCAGCGACAACCTGGCTTAGCAAGGTCAAATCTGCAGCTGTTGATTCAACACCTCATCCTATCTTACTTTCCTTAATTCAACAGCATGCCCATACCAAGAAGGGAGCCTTGCTGCTGAGTGAGGGTCAGCTTCCATCCCTGATGCATGTGAGCTGTGGTGAGTGGCTGCTGTTTCTGGGTGCTGTGAGCAAAGATGTGTACCTTGGGATTTTACACCAGAGGGAAGACCACAATGAAATGCTGGTATGTGTTGAATCTGTCCCTATAATCAAGGAATGGGGGACGTTAAAATTGTAATTCTAACTAACTATGCCTTACTGGGTGAAAAACAGCAAGGAAGAAAAGAAAGGAAAAGTTTTCTGTTTAAAATTCATTAAAACCATTAGCAAGCAGCTAAAAATTGGCAGTTAAACTGCTGCCCACCATACTTTTCACAAATAAGTAGGTTACACAGCTTAAAGCTTACACTAACTTACATATTCATACATCACTTTAATTGACAACAAAAGCTGAATGCAGTATCTTAGTTTGCAGCAGGTTTTCTGAAAACTATAAATGCTGCAAGCTTCATTCATCCACTGGGCTGCCATGAACCGAAGTTATTAAAAAAGCTAAAAACTATAACTATGACTTACTTAAAATAATAAAAGATAAAAGATAATGATTTTTTTTTTAAAAAGGTGATCCTTGGGCTTGCTATTATCAAGGAACACACAATGCTTGAGTCATCATTACTGCGTTGTTTGTTACTCAACTTTGTTGTTACTAGCTTCATTCAGTAGCTGCTTTTTTTTTTAACTGACAGTGTCTTGAAACTGTGGATATACCATCAACAAACTTAGTTCTGTAGAGGACATTGGCATTGTTAAACATTCCATCCTTCAAGGACACCACAAGGAACTACAACAAAACAGAAAGTGTGAAATAAATGCTGCTGTTCAAATAAAGATTAAAAAAGGAAACACTTCAAAAAAGAGGATTACTTTTAATTCACTTAGGTATTATCTTACTAATACTTCTTATAAATATATATATATATATTTTTTTTTTCCACTAAGAGCCTCATAGAACAAGTTGAGTTAATACACACCATCATTTTTTGTGTTTATGAATTACGTGGTTGGTCTCCTCAGCCCAGGATGGCTGGCACACCCTGTCCTGCTGTAGCACCACAATAAAATATGACCTTTCTTGATGCATTGACCATTGGGAAAATGTTGCCATGAATTTTTCTAAGAATGCAGGATTATTCATGCACCAAAGCTGCAATTCAAATTGCTTTACAATACCACTAGCAACAGGTGTTCCTCTCTTCTCTACCATAATTTGGAAAGGTCACATTTACCAGAAAGTAAACATACAACTTTTCATTCAGAAGAATATGTTCCTTCAGTTCTGCGGGTGAACAGGCCACAGTAATCCCAAGATCCTTTCCACAAGCACCCATTCTATTTTACAACATTTTTCATTTAGACTGAAGATCTCTATCAAGAAAACAAAAATAACAAACAAACAAACGCCAGTATGTGGGCTATGTCTCTAATTGGCTGTACACAGACCATCCTCCTTGTCAGTACCTGCTTTTTTTAGCCAGTGCAGCAACTGCTTATATGAAGAGGTAATACTTAGAAGTTTCAGCTGCCAAGCCATAAGCCAAATCCAGCTGAAATGACTCAGAAATAAAATAGTTCAGCAGTTGAGAATTCCCAGGAGCTGGCTGCCTCTGAAAATAGCAAAGCTGAATAAAAAGTCACAGTAGTTTCAAGAGTGTACCTGGGATTGTTTGAAATGAGCATGAAGCATCTGTCCAATATTCTGGGTATGAGAAAGGTCAAGAGCAGCATCCACTTCATCCAAGATGTAAATTGGAGCAGGTTTGAAGAGAAGGATGGCTAAGATTAAGGACAGGGCCACCAATGATCTAATACAAAGAATAAGGAAGTTATATTTTATGCTCTTGTTTGAGATACTTCCACTTATTACAACAATTGTCCAGTAGTATTAAAATGTTCTCTGAGAAACAGATTCATGCTATGAGTTTTGGGGAGAGAGAAACAAGAACAGCTGCTGCCACTTTTCATGAAGAAATGTGAAGCCTTTTGCTAGAAACAGTATTGTTAATTAATTATTTTACTGGCAGATCAGGTTGGCTGGGGTATGATTAATCTCTCTTCCAGAGGACATTTTTTGCTCTTCTACAGCAAGAGCTGCTCTAAGGAAAGCACTGGTCTGATACTGGATTAAGTAGGTCATCCAAGAAAGGATGAAAAGGCAGAGGCATCTGATTTTTTTTATTGTTTGTTTTTTGCCTCACTTTTTTAATATTAATGAAGGATCTTGGGCTGTCTTGTCCTCTGAACTAGAGGACCATAACTCAGGGAACAGTTACATTCCATGGTGACTGAAATTTTAAGGGAGAGATTATATCAGCTCAGTGTTCTTAAGTCCATGGGCCAAGATTCCCCAGGGCTCAATTTAAAGACAACTGCTGTTCAGCACTTTTGTCAGCGATCTGGATGTAGGGGCAGAAGGCATCTTAACAAGTCTGCTGGTGATCACTGGCTCAGCATCAACCAGTGATCTGCATGACAGCCAGGAGGGCAAACTGCATTGTAGGGTGCACAGCCAGTCAAGGAGCTGGTTCTCTCAATAGATGCAGTGGTACTGTGGCCTCAATTCAAGGCACTGTGTGCATTTCTGGGCTGCATCATACAAAGGATTTAAGGGTTCTTGAATTGGTTTCAAAATGTTATAGTAAATGGGATTACGTCAGGTTGGAGTCATCCATAACAGTCATTTGCCACTTCTCCCAGGTGTTCCTGCAAGTGCAGGCTCTGTTTGGCTCAGTTGCTTCCCTACAATAGTATTCTATTATTTTCCCCCACTGACTGCAACTCAAAGGCTGTAGCACTGTGTCAGTGGTACCTCAGTATTACCTAGCGACTGCAGTTTTTCTATCATATGGTTTTGTCATTTCTCTGTGTTACAAAATTTTATTACTATATGCTAAGCACTGCCTTCTTTGAAGTCAGGTTCCTCTTTGAGGGAAACTGAATTGATCATTCTTTAGATATGAAGCCAGGATGGAAGAAGACAGTCTATGACTTGACTGTGGAAACAGCTCTAAAGTGTAACTGGTTATACATAAAGTTATAATTGGTTAGACATATCAACTACATCCACAACTGCAATGGAAAAAAAGACAACAACCAAAAAAACATCCACAGTTTACCAACCTTTGACCTCCACTAAGTTCCGTTAAGTTTTCCTTCCAGATGTTTCCTAAGCCAACCCTGAACTCCAGACCATCCAGGATATTTTGCTTTTTAGATGGAACTAACATAGCTTTGGCTCCTGGTAGAAGCATCGAGAAGATGGAACCAAAGTCTTTGTTCACCTAGAAGTGGCACCAGGAAAGCGTGATTTGAGTCAGAAGCACAGTTCCAAAAACTTAGTGATGGGCAACACGAGGCTCTAGGCTTATTCAACAATTTCATTCAACGAATTCTCATGTCTTAAAGTTTAGAATATAGAGTGAGTATTTTTTTTCAGCTATACTGAAAACAAAGGAAAGTACATAGGACAATTTAGACAAAATAGACAAACAGTGATTCCTTTCATTACCTAAGGGAAGCCTACAAGAAAGGTAGAATGGGGATCTTTAACAGGGGGCGAAGTGTAAGAGTGATAGATTTTGTAGTTGTTATTTATAACTGAAAGAGGGGAGATTTAAATTAGACAGGTTAGAAATTCTTTACAGCAAGGCTGGTGAGGCACTGGAACAGGTGGCCCAGAGAAGCTGTGAATGCTTCCTCTCTGGAAGTGCTCAAGGCCAGGTTGGGTGGGGTTTTGAGCAATCTGATATAGGGGTATTCTTGTCCACAGCACGATAGTGTGAAATTAGATGATCTTTAAGGTCCATTCCAACCCGAACCATTCTGTGATTCTGTGCAATACTGTCTATTTAAGAGGCAATGGCATCTGCATGCCAGTAGCTTAACTTTTATTTTCGTGGGCACTAAAAGAAAAAGGTAATTCTGCAAATTTGAGTCTGTCTCCGCAGAGAATTCATGCCCTACCCTCAAAAGTAAGCTTAAATAGAAGAAATGGAAGTTTCTGCTCTGTACTTTAAATATTAAATAGGCATAAGAGATCAGTTCTAGAAAGAAACAAGTTTTTTTCATACAAATATGCAAAACAGTGAACTAAAGTGAATTTGATCCTCAAGAAAAAAATACACGCTGAGGTGCTAAAATTAGATTTCAAGTGACATACCTTTTCCCAAGCAATGTGCAAAGCTTTATTTTTCTTTCGGTCAAGCTCTTCAATAGTTGCAAGAATTTTTATCTTGTCATTCTCTACGATTCTCTTTTTCTTCATTAAGTCGTTATACTTATGCAAGAAGAAGAGTGATTTCAGTGAACAAAGCACAAAACAGTGGGAGTGTAATTAAGAAACAGCAAAATTAGTCACAAGATTGAAATCCAAAGCCCCTTGTTCAGCTGTATGCTGGATTTAAATTTTAGAGTGTTGTTTGCAAATTAAAGCATTCGAATTTTCAGCATTTGGCAAAGGTGAAGATCAGCACTACTCCAGAAGTTGCATTTTGATTAAAAGTTAATCATGCTCCATTTATTTCTCTGTGCAGGAAAGGATACTTATGAAGGCACACAGGAAGAACAGGACAATTCTAATTAAGAACCAATATTAGAAACATTAGGTGAGTGAATCAGTCCTGGGACAAAACTGGAACATCCTCAGGATACACATGAATCTAAGTCAACCCCGGAACACCTCCAAGCTATCTTGCTTCTTTTTCTTGATCTGCAGCCTTTGACAAAGTACGTGGTACTGAGTCAGATATGCTAACAGATACAAAGCCTGCCCAGTGCTTCTGCTGCCAGCTTAGTAAGGGCTGTGGTAGGAAGTGATGAAATTATTTGTAGCTTTGTTATGTATAACTTAGTTTACTAGAATACAATAAGTAGTTCAAAATATAAAACTAATATGATCTAACAAAAAGCAGCTATATCAAGAAGATTATATTTCATTTTTTGGTGCATTTAGGAACTGAATATATGAAAATATATATTAAGTCACATTACAAATACAATACACCCAAGCTGCTCAATTTCTAAAGGTTAAAATTTGGAATGCTTACCCTCTCCTCTGCCTCAGAAAGCAAATTCATAGCTCTCATGTTCAAGGACTTCTCCAGCTTCTCTTTTTTTGTCAGTAGTTTCTGCAGCTTCTGACCTGCTTCTTTAGGATTGCTGGCTTCAAAGTCATAAGTTGTCTCTGGCTGGCCAAAAAGCTCTTTTTCTGAAGCTATCCACTTATTCTCTTTCAGCAGTTTGTCCAACTGTACACAAGAAGACGTGCTGATGCTTTAATTTATTTTAAAAATTCTGAATTAAAACAGAACAAAACCCAACCTGCTACTCTCCTAAAATCAGTCTAAAGCATCAATTTCATTCCAGTATAACACAGGTGGATCCCTTCAGCATGCTTCATGCATCCAAGACCACAGGGGAATCAAGATTCTGGGGGAAGTTTCATGTTCTCTCTTCTATGTTACTTGGAACATAATTTTCTGTATCTGGACTAAGCCATTGTTGCTGAGTATCTGGATTAGATTCTCTAATTGGTTACCCAGATTATCCATAACATCAGAATGTTTTTGTGCTTTTTTTTTCCACTGATCACCTTCTTTGACATATTTTCTATGAATCCATAATGATATGTTACAATTCATAGTTTCCACTCCTCTTTCACATAACGAGTTGCAAATAAAACAGTGCTTATTATTTACCTTTAAAAAAAAAAAAAAAGGCTATTTCCTTTGCACAAAGAGAAGAAAATAATCACTTGGCCACAAGATGCAAAGAAAAGCACAATTATGAAATACCGTGGAAGCAGCATCAGCAGTCTCTTGTTGATACTTGCTGATGTCGTGTTCTAATGCATTCATGTTGAGCTGCAATTCATTATTTTGCTCTCTGTATTTCTCTATCTCTGCAGATTTGGCTTTAATATCTTTAGTTTGCTCTGCCATTAATCCCTTTTGCTTGACCAGCTCATTCTCTGCATTCTTTAGAGATTCCTGTAAAGAAAATCAGACGGCTAGTAACTTCTTACAAAAGCAGAGTAGCAGAAAAAGTTAACACATGGTAATAAAGCAATAAAGCAAAAAAAAAAAAAAAAAAAAAAAAAAAAAAAACCTCCTGCTAAGACTAAACATAATTTAGCGCTGCCAAGAAAATCCAAATAGCAAAAAAAAATAATGCAATTTATGGGATCCTCAGTAACATCAAAACTGATAATGTAGTATTCCCTTTTACCCTTGTCTTAAATGCTTCAGCTTCCAAAGCATCAACTTGCTCATGGAAGGACACGATTGCTTGTTGTGCCGCCTCACTCTGTTGCTTATACGAGGCTTGTTCTTGTTTCAGCTGTTCAAGTTCCAGAACTAATGCTTCAACTTCCTAGAAAGATGTTTTAAGATTTATTAAGGTTATACTTCAGTGGAAAAAATTAACATTTAATTTGATAAATACTGTAGAAGATAATACAATTCTTGCTCTTCTGTTGAATGGAGCAACACCACAAAAGCATCACAAATTTTTACATGTCAGTAACTACAAAGTAATATTTAAGTTGTGAAGTTGATGGGGTTGAAACTTCAGTAGAATAAAACTGACTTCTGGACACACTTGTAGCATTGAGAAAATAGCAATAAGGTGAGATTTACCTGCTGCTTTTCTTTCATTTTTCTGCTAGAATCATCTGCTTTCTTCTTGGCGCTATTTAGTTTCTGCTGGGCATTCTTTATTTCCTTCTCACGTTCTGCTTCTGCATTTTTCATTTTATTCTCTAATGCCTTATATTCTTCTTCAGCTTTCTGTTGGCTCTCTTCAGTTTTCTTTAATGTCTCTTCACACTCCACTAAATCAAAAGTACAGTACTAAGATTGAACAGTGCTCTTATCCTTAAGCTTAAATCCTGGCCTGTCTCTGAAATAAAAGTCAGACTCTACTACTACTACTACAAAAAGACAAAAACAAAAACAAACAAACAAAAAAAACCAGCCGGCTGTTTTTTGCTAGTTACTGAAGTCAGCTATTTCAGTAATTCCTGAGACACTGTTAGCAGTTATGTGCAGAGCACCAAACAGAAAACCAATCATTAAAATTAACATAATAAAAGGCAAATAGATGAACAAGAAGTACTTCTTTGGAACAAGAAGTAAATCATGGAACAGCTGTCTAGCCAGATACAACTTCACCCTTCATATACAATATACACATGCATTATTATTTTTTTTCTTTCACTGTTTTTCTTACCACTGCATTTGATTTCTTTTACACTTTTCCATAGTTACATAAATAGTACTTATTTCTACTGTAACCCACGTTGTCTCCTGAAACAGATGACTTGAAAAAAATCACACAAATCACACAAATATAGGACTAAATGCATTTTATAATGTTGCTACAAAGCCATTTTTCCTTTTACTCTGAAGTACGTATGTGGAATCCTTAACAAGGACAAAACCTTTAGAAGGGCATGAAAAACATTATCTGAGCCCTATGCCTGTGTTTGCCAGCTATAATTCTAGTACATACTCCAAAATATAAAGCAAATATTTTCAAAACTATTTTTTCCCTTGGCTGTTTGCTTCTCAACTGTCAAATATCTTTCTCTGCAATTAGCTTTTAACTGCAAGATAAAAAACACATTTGTCTCACCAATACTTTTCTTCAGAGCAAGCAGGTCTTCCTGTTGTTTGTGATAAGCACTTTGCTGAATCTTAGTTTGCAATAGCTCTGCCTCTTCAGACTTCATCTCCCACTGCTGCTTCAGATGCTGGTACCTTTGAAGGCAGTAATGATATATATATAATGAGGGGTACACAGCATTTCAATTTCAAGTTGAAATAAGCAGATACAGAAATGCTTATATTCTCATTGCAAAGTGACAACTATAAGCGACAACAATAACAACTATAAAACAAATAAGCCTACATTTTATAGAAAACTAATAGAGCTTTACAAAAATAGAGGTATGTAAATATATAAATTCAAATATGCTTGAAAATAATTGTGAAGTCTGTAGAAAAGTAGCTTATATATTTAACTCATTGTTATGAAGCCCTGCTAATATATACAAACATATATAAAAATAAACAAATGCAACACAAGCTTGAAAACAAATCAGACCTCATGTTTTTCCAGACAGTAAAATAAGAAAATCATTGAACAACAACAAGCAAAACTCATTTCTTCCTTTTGGTTATATTTTTGGAAATCTGTTATGACTTAAAACAATCTGAAAAATAATTCCAGCTGGCAGATACCATACTGCCCAACACTATCTTCTCATGGGATTTTTTTAGAACTAAATATATCTTTTAAATTCTATTTTTAAAAGCACAACAAGTAAGAAGGAATAGCTGAAAATTCAAACATACTCTTAAGATTATTTAACTTAAATTCTTACAGCAGTATCACTTGAATATTCATTCTCCTTTAGGATCTTTATATTTCCTTGGGGGAATAATAAGAACTATCACAAACTGAAATTCTTGATGGGTGTTACAAAATAAGGGAAATAAACAGGAAGAGATGGAAATCATGGTGCAGTTAAAAAACTATGATCTAATTACTGTCAGAGAAAGATGGTGCGACAACTGGAATATTGCAACTGAAGGCTACAAGATTTTTAGGAGGGACAGGTAGGACAAAAGTTGCCCTCCACATTAAGGAGTGGAGAGACTGTTAAGAGCTAAGAAACATGTTAAGGCCTTAGAAACATCCATGACCAGACTGAGAGCTTGTGGGTTAAAATTACAGAGCAGACCAGTAAGGTACAGCTGGTGGTCAAGGTCTACTACAGCCCTCTGATCAAGGGGATGAAGTCTTCCTGCTTCAGACACAAGTGGTGTGCTCCCAGGCTCTTATCTTGATGGGAATCTCAACCATCCAGATATCTGCTGGGAAAGAAATACAGTGGACTGCAAACAATCCAGGAGATTCCTCAAATCCACTGAGAATAACTTCCTGTTTCAGGTATTGGATAGACAAACCAGAGGTGAAGAGTTACTCAACCTGGTTCATCCGCAGTACAGAGGAGCTCATTAAAGAAGTTAAGATCAAAGCCAATCTGGGCTGTACTGACCATCGCTAGAGAAGTTTGTGATCAGGGGGAAATTCTTTACAGACAGAGTGGTGAGGTACTGGAACAGGCTGCCCAGAGAGGTTGTGGATGCCCCATCCCTGGAAGCGTTCAAGGCCAGATTGGATGGGGCCCTGGGCAGCCTGGTCTAGCATTAAATGAGGAGGTTGGTGGCCCTGCATGTGGCAGGGGGGTTGGAGATTCATGATCCTTGAGGTCCCTTCCAACCCTGGCCATTCTGTGATTCTGTGATCTTGAGGAGTATGGATCTAGCAAAGAGTAGAGTTGGGACTCAAGTTCAGGAGAACAAACTTCCAGCAGTTTAAGGAATTATGGGATGAAATCGCCTGGGGAACTGTTCTTAGGGACATAGGAACAGATCAGTGCTGGCAGCTCTTTAAGGTTTACTTTCTTAGAGCACAAGAGCTCTCCATTTATGAGCATAAGCGATTGAGCAGAGGAGGAAGAAAAGCAGCACAGCTGAGGAAAGGCTTGCTGGTCAAACTGAGGGAAAAGAAGGAAAGCAGGGATGTCTGGCCTGAGAAAAATACAGGAATGTCATCTTGACGTTTAGAGATGGGATCCGGATGAAACTAAGCCTGGCAAGTGGCATGAAAAATAACATGAAGAAATTCTACAGATATATTGATCAGAAGAGACAGGCCAAAGAGAGTGTACCCCTTTTAATAAATGATAAGGGAGAACTGGCAACAAAATACATAGAGAAAGCTGAGGTACTCAGTGTGTGCTTTGCCTTAGTCTTCACTGCCAGTCTGACTTGCCATGTCTATCACATGCCTGAACATCTAGGTCCTAGGTCACCATGCACGTCCTTCTGTCATTGCACCCTTGTTGTAGCATCTTTCTCATCCTATTGATCTGTCCAACTGCTACATAGTGACGTAAGAGAAATAACAAGACATTTTTACAATGCAAACCTTACTTTTCAGCCGCATCCTTTAAGTTTGCTAGCTCTTTCTCTACAACTTCAAGTTGAGACTTCTTTATTTTGAGTTTGTCTTCAGCTTCTCTCATTGTTTTAAGTTTAAGCAATATAGGTGTAATATTTGAGCTTACACCTATTCAGAGAAAAAAAAGAGCAAAGTCAAATCTAATTGGAATTATATTCAACTCTGGCAAATGGTGAATTGTAAATCTTGGCTACAGTGCAGGTTTAGTTCATGATTTGTTTTAATTGCAAAACAGAAAAACAGCTAAGCAATCATTCTCAATGGAGAGACTACAAATTAATTTTGTGAAATCAACCAACTTCACATGACATCATGTATTCATTTACCTCAAATTAATTATGAAATACTCCAAAAATTGCTCGAACTCAAAGCATCCTTTCCAACCTCTTCAAGAGGATTCAATAGCCAAATAAGGTTTAAGTATCTAATATATAAACTATATCATGCTAATATTTTATTGTTTTTTTTCCTAGTCCAATTGTAGTCTTACTTCAGTGTACAACCACCAAACCTTTTCTCAAAGATGATGTTACCTCAAGTACAAGTTTAAATAAAAATGCCTCTTTCCTTTTTTAAAAATATGCAAAGCAGTAAACAAATCAACAAAAACACAATTATTATATGAATAAAAAACAGCAATTGCCTCCACTAAGGGTTCCCTGGGGGTCAAATATATCTCCTTGAAGTGTAACTGCTTTTCTCATTATTCTTTTGTCAAAGGTTACTTTCTTAGCATTATCCATACTGCTACAGACCAGTGTTGTCCCAAAGACATATTCCATTGCCTTCTGTAGTTCAGAATTATAATCAATAAGAGAAATGGCTATATGCACGTTGTGTTGACCAATCTGGAAATAAAGCGAAATGCCATTAGTATGTCTTAAGTTACAAGAATCTTATCTCAATAATTTTTAAAGTCATCATTGCATTTTAAAACATAATTTCAATTAAAAGCAAGACAATTAAAATTCATCTGAATATTGGATAGTTCAAGGATAGAGAGGGAAAAAAAAATAAAGGAACTCTCAAACTGTATAGAAATAGTATGGCTGTTACATTATGCTAAAAAAAAAAAAAAACAACCATACAATAAAAATATAGTATTTATTTACATACCAGGTTTTTGGCCATTGAGATAATTTCACATCCAATACACTTGGCTGAAATTTTGCTTAGTGGAATGATGGTGTACCGATGCTTTAGTTGACCCTTTTCTAAAATCTTTTTGCCAGTAGCCTAGAATGAGAAAAGCTACCTTTCAGAGCATATCCAATATTAAGACAATATGGCATTCCAGTAGCATCATTTCATCAACAATATCTATGTATGATACTTCTGACTTAATTTGAATAGGTACCCCGAACCAAATCACCTCTTAGGCATAAAGTCACTAAGCACATGCTTGCTTAGTGACACACATACCTCGGTGTCCACAACAACGTTATAGAGTTTTCCCCCAGCCACCGCTTCTAGTGCTTTTGATGTGCTTATGTCTTTCACGGTGATAAGAGTTACAACAAGGCCTTTCACATAGTTCGGATTCCAATTTTTTTCTGGATTTCTTAGAAAAACAAAATCAGTTATGATAACTACATGTTTGGTTCTCTTCCTGACAGCTTCAAAGACTATCTTAGAAATTACTATTGTTTACAATGGTAGAAGAAATTCTATTAGACAAAATGAACAGGAAATGATTAGTTTAACTACTTCACAGCAAGAGACTTTTCAGAAAAAAGTCAGTTACAAAGCCAATAGAAGAATGTCCTTCCTGACTTTAATATGATTTGTTCACACAGTTCTCAGTTGATTATAGTCTGGTTCCTACTATTAGCACAGCTACAGGAATATGCTCAGGTTGATTTTACATAAGAAAACAAATAGGATACATATATTTGGTGGAGATAGACACAGCATTGACTTCCACAGAGCAAGTTTATTCACAGATTTCAGACAGGACTGAAAATTAATAACATTTTTGCAGGTTAGACTGTTGGATAACTATAGTTTCAGCTACTGAACTTGACTTAAAACTTGCAGCACCACGTTAAAAATCTTCTAAATTCACATTACATTGATAAGGTTGTATTTTAAGAATGACTGTCTCCTCTCCAGTGCTGCCCACTAATTCAGCTAGTATTTCCTGACGTTACTAACTTGTTTACTTGCCTCAGATAAGAGAATCATTATTTACTAACAGTATGAGAAAAACAACTGCCAAGGAATAGATGGAATAATTTTTATGGTCTCATAATTCATGCATAAAATACACCAAACAGCACTTTAAAATGTATTTCAAGATGACACTGAGATCTTACTTGTATTCAAACCGTAGATGAGGATGCTTTGCTATTATATTTTCACACAATTCTGTCAGACTACTGATTTCAGAACTCAATTTCTTCTTTTTTGCTAGATGGGCTTCTTGTTCAGCTTCTGGAGTCAAACACAAAGAGCATAAAAACATACAGAGTATAGAAACATAGTAATTTAAAAATCAGTATTGTGCTCTGATTATATACATGCATGGGGAGCAGCTAATTGAAAAAAACTTCTAAAATTACTTTAAAATTTCAATTTTAGACAAATTAACACTTTAATAAAATCAAATACACAGAGCAAAAAGTATAATGTTACTCTCTAAATATAAGTTGAAATGAATTCAGGATTATCAATTTACACTTTTGTGCATCTTCTGCAACAATTATTACCAACAGGAAACAACTTTTAAGTTTTAAACTGGGAAGAATGGGAACAAACAGGGAAGCTCTTTTAACTTAAAGTTTGAGCTTTATAGGTGTTGGCTCGCAGTATTTAAAACTGAATCATTTCAAAGTACTTCTTCTGCAACTTTCACCAGATAAATTTATTCGTGCCTGAAAACAATATACTTGTTTTTTCTGTTCCTTCTATATTCCTTTCCACATCCCCACAAAATTATGCACCAAAAGTCTACATAAAAACCTTCATATTTCAGCTTTTTCATTTGAACTTGTAGTTTTTCTTTTGTTTTTCTGATAGCTTCAAATGCCTCTTGGTCTTCCTTGTAGTTTCCATCCATCTTTTTAACTTCAGCTTGTTTTGTTTTTAGCTCCTGCTGAGCATATTTCAATTTCATTTGGGCCTGTAAGGAATAAAAAACATGGAACCAGAAGGTATTCAGGGAGAATCTTTGAGTACAGATTTAGAACATATGCCCTAACCAGGTTCTCCCTTAATTTATAAAAATTCTCTCTGTTTGCAAGAATGGCAAATAGCAGCCTGGGCCCTTAAAACTAAAGACATGGGTGATAAAAGCATAAAATGTGTCAGAGGGGGTTTCTGGGTGCCAGCACTCTTGGTCTGTGTATGCTGATGAGACGCACCTATCTCGATAGAGGAAATATTTGACTGGTTTGTAACCTGGTGTGACTGATTGAGAGAGCTTCAAACTTAGATAGATCAGGGAGGGAGACTGCATTAGGAACACTGAGGCACACCAAGGGACAGTGCAGCACTAGCTGAGAGTGGCAAAGCTAATGGGAACACCTATGCTGCTCCAAGTAGCATTGTGGGTTCTGGAACACAGAAGAAATATCTATGTACTAATGCAGGCAGAATGTGGAATAAACAGGGGAAAATGAAATATGTGATCCTTGACCAGATCCATGATATCATAGACATCTGTGAAATTTGGTGGGATGAGTCCCAAGACTGTAGCGTTGAGACAAAGGGCTATTGACTGTTCAAGAGCAGCAAGGTGTAGATGATGTGCTTTATGTATAGGAGTGATTAGACCATACAGCCATTGCTGTCAGAGATGACACAGCAGAGAACTTTCAGATAAGGATTAAGGCAGCAGACAATAAAACAGATATTGTGGTAGTTGTCTACCGAAGACCACTCTTAATCCAGCTTATCTAAAGAGAATTGGTTGAAATTTCAGGATCAGTCATCCCCTTACAGGAGATTTTAAATTCCCAGACAATCCAGGAATAGCACACTAGCACAAGCAAGCTTGGGAAATTCCTGAAGCACGATGAAGATAACTTCCCATTGCAAGTTCTGAGTGAGCCAACTAGGAAAGATGCCCTTCTAGATGTGTTGTTTGAGGTATTGAACGTGGGTTCATCAAGAGAAAGTGCTGAGCCAGGAGCTGGATGCAACAATCCTTGTGGCTCCCATCCACTTGGGATATTCTATCACTGTGTGTTGTTCTGTAAGATCACCTGCTTGGTGGGCAAAGAGAAGGCAGTGGATGTAATCTTTCTGGATTTCAGTGAGGCCTTTGATACTGTTTCTCACAGTATTCTTTTGTTCAAACTGCCCAACAATAAGATGCAAGTGCTGTTCAGCATTTTTATCGATGACCTGGATGCAGGGGAAGAAGGCATCTCAGCAAGTCTCTGCTGATACTGAACTGGGAGGAGCTGTTGACTCCCTGGAGGGACAAATGGCCTTGCAGAGAAATCTACATACATTGGACAACCAGCAACAGCACACGTTCTAAGGAAAATGTTGGGTACTGTGCCTGGAATGAAGCAATGCTGAACACAGGCACAAACTGGGAGACAAGCAGTTGTAGAACAGCTCTAAAAGAGACAGCAGGCTCAGCATCAGCCAGTGATCTGTCCTGGTGACAGGACATCAGGAAGCATTTATTTATGAGCACACACACTGGAACAGACTTTCTAGAGAAGTGGCTAATACCTCCAGCCAGTCAATAGCCAAGGGGCATTTAGAGAATGCTTTATAATGCTCAATACTGTGCTTTAACTTATGGTTAACCCCAAGAGGGGGTTGGACTTGATGGTCCTTGAAGGTCCCTTCCAAGTAATCTGGCCCTCAGCAGTCAGTCCATCTTGGCACCAGTGCTCTTCAGCATCTTAGATAATGACATCCAGTATGATTCACTGCACTCTCAGCACGTTTGCTAAAAACACGAAGCTGAATTGGTATGACAGAAGGAAGGGATGTCTTCCAAAGGGACCTATGCATGCTTGAAAAGAGGGCCCACATGAGCTGAATAAGGTTCAAGTGCAAGCTGTTGCAGTTAGATCATAGCAATCCCTGACACATATATTAGACTGGGAAGTCACTGAGAACAGCTCCCCTGAGAAGGGCTTGGAGGTCTTGGTGGACAAAAGCTGGAGCCAGCAATGTATGCTTGCAGTCCAGAATGCCAACTGTATCTTGGGCTGCATCAAAACAGGAGGGAGAGTATTGTCCTCTTATACTCTGCCCTCCTGAGGTGCAACCTGCAGCACTATGCCCAAGGCCCCAGCACAAAGAAAATGTGGAGTTATTGAAGCAGGTCCAGAGGAGTCCACAAAGATTACCAGCGAGCTGGAGCACTTCCCCAGGATGAACAAGCCCAGTTCCCCCAGCCTGTCTTCATAGGAGAAGAGAAAGCTCCAGGGTGATATCACTTTGGCCTCTCAGTACGTAAAGACAGTTTATGAGTAGGAGGGGAAAGGGGAAATAGTAATAGGACAAGGGAGAATGGCTTTAAACTAAAAGATGGGAGATAGATGTTAGGGAGTTTTCTACTCAAAAGGGTGGCGAGGCATAGGCTGCCCAGAGAAGCTGTGGATGCCTCCTTCCTGGAGGCATTCAGGAAGGCCTGAATCGTGTGGAGCACTGGAGATCAATGAGATTTGAGGTCCATTCTAATCCAAGCCATTCTGCAGGCTGCCATTCTATGAACTACTCTACTGTATGTACTTGGATACAATAAACTGTATTACCAAATACCCAGTATCAAAGAAAGAGGAGAAACAAACTAAAATATTGCGGGACAGAACCACATTTGTTACTTTTCCCAGAAGAGTTTTTCCATAAATGAGACAAGGAAGGTGCAAGTTCATCAACAAAAATTTATATTCCACCATCAAAACAGTCACGGCAAAAGTTTCCTATCTTAAGAGGGATGTGACATGTTTCAAGTAATAGAGAAATTTAAGAAAGTAATCTAATAGAGAAATTCCTCCCAAACTCTATTCAGACATGTTTGATTCTACTAGATTAAATACAGAAATACTTTAATTTCCTTTTCTAAGCTTCTTGGTCAGTCATCTGTATTATGTCATATACTAATTTCTGTACTTCCTCAAGGCAGTGTTGTAACTTTTCCTTTTATTGGCCCAAGGACTTTCTTATTTTAAAGAGCCTGCTTAATAAAAAAGACTTACCTCAATGCCTATGTGAAAATACCTTGCATAGATATTCTACAAATTTTTCCAACAATGCATCACGAGAGCTCAGACTCTTACCTGTTTAGCCTCTGTTGCTGCTTTGCTAATCTCATTTTTGCAGGTCATCATCTGGTCAGCCAGAGAAGTTCCTTGACCACTGTCATTGCTAGACAGGCCAGCAGATACAACATTAAAATGCTGTTGTGCTGCGGCTAAAGCTTCTGCATCTTTTTTACTTTCCTCTTGTAAACCATTCAGTCCTTCCTGTATCTTCTGTATTTCCTTCTCCTTTGATGTGAATGCTTTAAGTTCCTTTAGCAAAAAACAACAATACACCAAAACAATAAGTCCTATTAATTTTAAATTAATAGGTAAATCAGATGATGTACAGCCATGATTAGTTTCACCAACCAAGTTTTGAAAAACTTGTCAGCTTTTTTGATTTCACAATCTGTTTTTACGTATTTCAGGTGTGCACTTGCTCAGTGAGGACACTCAACACAACATCTACAGAGAAAAATGAAATCGAGGAAGAAATGATAACTGCACAACTAGGAAAAACAGCTCTCTGTAAAGTATTTAGTGTTCGTATTTTAAGAGAAATGAATTAAATGTCAAGAATATGAAGCAGATGTTTTTCCTTTGAGATGAGCAGGCTTTCTGAATGCAGATGGGATCTCCTCCCAAAATTAAAACAAAGTCGTCAACAGCAGAGCTGGACTTTCTTCATAAATACATCATATTTGTTTTTAGTGGGAGTTTACTACCTGTGTGATGCAAATCAAATAACATCCTTATCATTTGTTTCTGTCCTCCTGTTGCCATTCTTTCCAATCAACTTTGAGGAGGTAATAAAAATCTGCTGTCCCCACTCAGTGCTTAGGAAGAAAATCATAAACAAAGGGTTTACCTCCTGCATGATTTTGATCAATTCTTTATGCCTTTTCTCTTCATTGTTTAAATTTTGCTTCGTGTGATCAAGATCACTGCGGACTTTAGCATCAACTCTTTGGAGTTCCGACAAAGCAACTTCCAGCGAATGTAACTTAGCACCAAATTCCTACAATCAGCAACAATGGAAATTTAAATATTGGATAACTGTATACATTAAGATTTCATCTTCTGTTTGTAGCTATATAGAGGAGATGCATGTCCGACTGCATGGTTAGACTCTGAGACTCCAAAACAAATGTGCTAGAACATCTCTTCCCACAGAAATCCAAACCAATTTGAAGTCACTGCAAGAGCCCAACTGTAGTTACTGAGAGACGCTATCCCTGTGAGGGGAAGTGTAGGAGTTGTGCTTGTGCATGAAAAGATGCTGTGGGGTAGTTGGTACATAATCAAATTTTTCTACCTCTGTAACTGAGGTCACTAGTGATTTTTGTATTTCCCACTTCAAGAGTATTTTGTCTGAAACACAGACAAAAAACGAAAAAAAAATCAGATAAAGTTTTCCACTGAATACACAGGGTGGAAATATGAGGGAAAACTTTTATCATCTTCAATTACTCAGTCTCACTTCAGTGCCTGACAAAATTATTGAGATTATTTGGGAATTTACTGAGTCGGACTCTGATCCTTGCAGGTTTCTCTCAGCTTGGGATATTTAATGATTTACAGCAATTGAAAACATAGTATTTCAGACATTAAAACATTATAGAGACCCCATTTAGGAAATGGCTAATAATGAGTAAGCAGTGTATAAGCTAAACAATCCATCATAGGAAGAGTAAAATTTAAGTGCATATCATATGCAAAAATAATTTTCTTCTCATATACTTCCTCCTATTAACACCTTCAGGTGAGCATATCTGTGTTCTCACTTACCTTATTGTTTTTCTTCTCTGCTTCTTCTATTTGTCGTGCAAGTTCCTTTACCTTCCTCTCATTCTCAGCCATTGATTCCAAAATCTTCTTCTTATCAGCCTGTGCTTCCTTTAAAGCATTAGCAGAGCGATCCTTTATCTCTTCAGCACGGACATACTGAAAAGCCACATGCATGCGTCTTAAATTCTCCACTTCTCTTGTTATTTTCTGGTACTCTAGATATGATGCACGTGCCTGAAAAGATACAGATTAAAAGAAAATAAGAATTAAAATAGAGTGGAAAAAAATTAAGTAGTATTGCTATAGGATATAATATTCATATAATATAATATATAGATTATAATATTCAGTATTGTACACTGCAAACCTACTTAAGAAAATCTTAGCTAAAGCTATACTAGTGCAGTTGATTGTGTAACTGAAACTCCACTTGAGGCAAGTTTAAGAACTAAGACAAGTATTTAACTTCTATGCTTTCTGCTTCTCATTTGCTTCTTTCTCCCTGTATTCCCCTCCCAGATCTCTCATAATTCCTGCAAACCACACCGTCTATATTTGGATAGATAATAAACTTTTCATCACCTAAAAGATTCTAAAAAGGCTGAAAATACCATGTCTTGTTTTCCATATACTAGTTCAAAGTAGTTAAAAGTATTTCTTCAGTGCTTTAAAGCCTCTAACCATTTCTCTAAATATTCCATACCTCTTTCAGTTTCTCTATAGTTGGACTGATCTCTTCAGTTATGATCTGAAACACAAACCAGAACATTTGTATTCAAATTTTTAACTCATGTAGCATTAATACCTACCTATACAGAAACACATAAAGAAATGAAATAGTTTACTAGTAAAAAACAAAACACACTGCACTAGTTATTCAGCATCTTTAGCAAATAAAGCATACATTCCATTCCCACATATAGTACCAACCCTTCGAATTTCATCCAGTTTGGCTTCCTTCTTCTCTATGGTTTTATGGGCAGTCATTTTCTTGCATTCATACATCCTGGTACCAGCTGCTTCTTCAATCATAGCTAGAATCTAAAATAAAATAATTTGACAGAATGTTAATGATTTTTACCATGTCAAGTTGGTTCAACTCAAAACAAATTTAACAAATTATCTCTCTGTAGCACTTCCTTATCCAGAAAAAAAAAGAAAAAAAATTCACTGTTTTCTCACCTCTGTTGGCTTCATATTTAGAACTTTAGTAATTCGCCCCTGGTTAGAGAAAGATAAAAGAAGAATTATGATTGTGCACCATGCTATTGTAGTAAAAAATAAATTGAAACCCACATACTCATTTTATACACTATATTACAAGTGCTAACCTGTTTTTTTATTATTATTGTAAAGATAATTTAGTTTTATTAATTGCTTTGTTCTCAATATTTCAAACAAATAATAAGTCCCTTCTTCAAGCAGCAAGCTTGAAATGGCCTTTAGAACTTCTACATGCATTCTCCACATTTTTGCTCACATCCAAGTAAAGTGGTACTGTGTTTATTTTGTTCTGGCAGTCTTACTGACTATTTGAGCTCAAATAACTTCTTAATTATAGATTGGTTGCTTGGTAATCTGACTCGTTTGTAAAGGGAGAGGGGAGGGAAGGGGAATAAAATGGCTGCAAAACTGACCTTTTTCTTTTTTAATACATAATTAGGACAACTCCGTTTGAAGAAGTAAATTCTACTGTTTTGCTATTCCATGCAAATCTATCAAGGGTTGATTTAGTCCCTCTACTAAGGGTTACAAGGATCTTTTCATTTGGTCAGCTCATCTTTTTCTAACTGGGATTTAAGAAAGCAAGTATATTAATTCATACAAAATATTGTCTAACAAAGAATACAGCAAATAAGGAAAAAATACTCTTTTTTTATAACGTAACAATAAAGGAAACATCTGTTAGAGACCAAAAGGGAAACAAGATATGTTTTAGAAAAAGCCTCCTGTAAGACAAATGAGGAGATGAAAGAAAGCAAGGGCTAAAAAATCATCAGGATCATGCTGTGCTGCTCTAAAAATCTTAGCTACTGAATAGATACTTGATTTTTACTTGAAAGTTGCTTTGAATTAATAAGGAAAAAAATGTTATTCCACAAATTTAGTGCCACTTGTATTCTTTCTGAATTTTAGAAAGGTATGCATAATACCTGCATAATAAGGAAGTGAGGGTTGTTGACATTGAGTCCAACAGAACAAAAGAGATCCTGTACACGATTGTTGGAAGCATTCATACCATTGATAAGATACTTATTTCTACCTCCAACAACAACCTAGACAAGGAAAAGAAACAGAAGAAACTTCAAGTGATTTAAAAGTGGCTTGATATAATGCTAGAAGACAAAATAATAATTAAATATATTTAAAAAATCAAAGAAAATTCATATACTCCTGCTTTGTGTGCACATACCATACAGAACATAACAATAGATGTTACAGATCTTATATTTCAAACATCTTTTCAGTCCTAACTGAAGCTTTAAATAAGATTAGTTACAGAGGGTAAAGATTTGTTCAAGACTGACAAGAAACTCCCAAACTATGCAGGTTTTCTTATAAAATTTACATGTTTTGGAGACAATTTAACATGAAGCTCAGAAAATAAGAAGTCAAAAGATAGAAAGTTAGAACTTCAGAAAAAAATCATTTTACTGTTAGTATACTTTTGTGCAACTCCATAGAAAACATTAGTGGTATACTGCATCTAAATTATCTTAATCTTATTTTCCCAACAATTACAACTTTTAATCTAGTGTAGTGGTTCCACTTCTACACTTTCTGTTAACAACACTGTAGAATCATTGCCTCGGTTGCAAAAAGTTAAGGACTTTAAAAACTATTTTCCTGTTGAAAAGTCACTCTGTTGAGTATAGCAAAAATGAATGTAGTTTTCTGAGCAAATAAATATGGATTTTAGTGCTCACCTGCCTGGTGATGGTGATCTCATCATTATTTTCAAATCCCAGTGGACTATGTTTCTTGTCAGAATTATCAAACGTGATAGACACAGTTGCCTTATTCACTCCAGCTTGCCCATTTTTATAAACTAAATCATGGAGGCTTGAAGCTCGCACCTAAATATGTGGAACAGATCAATAAACTTTTGAAAGAAATCAAACTGCTGCTGTGATCTGCTTTGGCAAAATGAATGGATACTGTAGAGGTCTATCTATAATGCTGAAAATTCAGGGGAATGAGAGATACCAGAGCTGCAAGACGCCAGTACGTCTTTCAATGGCAGAATGTTCAAGTTCTAGTGACCTAGAACTTGCCATTTGTTTCCACATGATATTTCTGATAAAAATACAGAGTGGGTGTTTAAAAAAAATAAAAAGCTAGATTATTAGTTTAGTCACTAGTATCTTCGCATACAGAATATTTATCATTCGTAATGCAGCACACTAACAGGCGTTCAGGCTGCTGTCCTTAAGTGGGCATTTTTCAACTAAGTGGTATACTTTGCACCGCCGCAGTGTACTGATTATTAAATTAATTTAAACTTAATAAGAATAAGCAAAAATGGTAGAAACAGTTTCACTTACTGAAGAATTCAAACAAATAAAATCATTTTTTGACAAAAATAACATTTTGGGGGTCTTCCACCAGAGATTTCTCAGGAGACTAAAGTGAAAGGTTGATGGCATAAGGAAGACATTTCTTAAATTCGCCCTCTCTCTTTACCTGAGATAGATTGGAGATGCCCAACAGGAAGCAGATTGAGTCCAAGATGTTGGACTTGCCACTACCATTCAAGCCAGTAATGGCATTGAATAATGGATCAAAATCACGTATTTCTGTTCTCTGAGCATAGGATTTAAATCCTTCAAGTACAATTGATTTGATGTACATCTTCTTTAAGCTGTCAAGGGGCCACGTTGGTGCTTCCCCCAGGAGTACAATGAAAGGACTGAACTGCACTCTTCATGCTTTGAAGGAAAACAAAAACAAAAACACATACAAAAGAAACAAGCTGTACTGCACACCTAGCACAGCTACACAGAACAAAAACAGCATGCATTTTTAAACAGAAAGTCACGAAGGTCCGCAGATCCAGTAAGCATTCCAACAACCCTATGCATATTATTAAATAACGTGTCTTCGCACACTGTTCACCGCTATGGCTACAGCCCACTCTTGCCATGACGCTGGTCGTTACGGCTGTGCGGGGCCCGGAGTCGGACTCGATGATCCCCCTTCCAGTTCGGGTTACTCCATGACTCCAGGACAATGTGGGGGCCAAAAGGACAGGTGTCTCCCCGCTCACCCACCGCAGATTCCCTCCCACCGCGCTGCAGCCCAGGGAGAAACTGCCATGCACCTCGGCCAACACAGCCCCGCGACTGCCCTTTCCTTCCACCGAACGCCCCCGCAGCCCCTCATATACCAAGCGAAGGAAGCCCCCGCTGACCTGCCGGCAGCCGCCGAGCCCCTCTCGCACACTCACCACGACCAGGCTGCGGCAGTAATAAACGTTTGAATTTTGGCGCCGAGAGGAAGCAAGGACGTTGGAGGAGGTGCCCCCGCCTATGGCTGCCAAATTCCCTGCCTGATCTAGAGGTCTCGGATCGTCTGGTCTACCTCCCCTGCGAAGGGAGAAGAGACGTTCGATTCACACATTAATTCTTTCCAAATAAAAATAGAGCATAGTGAGAAAGTAGAGGCTCTGTTTGACGGGGCGGAAGGCGCCATAAAGTCAGGCGAGTATGGAGGGCAGCCCCTGAGGCAGAAGGACCCCTGAGCTCCTGCCTGGCAGAAAGGCGCGGCGGGGTCCTCCCGGGTCTGGGCGGGAAAGCACAAAAATGGCGGATCTCCGCCCCCTGTTGGAGGTGCTGTGGGTATAATTGGAAGTTTCAGCGTTCGCCTTAGGCTATGTTCTTTAGGTGCAGGCATTTCCTTGGAGCTGCTGTTACGCTGTAAAAATAGATCGGTGTGTTGCAGATGGAGTTCTGTATTCCTTTGCCAGCTGGGCTTTAGAGTTACCGATGAGGTTGAGGGAGCTGCAGTAGTCAAATGATTTTATTGAGTTACCTATTCAGGTGTTTTTTTAATCACTTGAAATAATCTCACTTATGGATCTGTTTTAAAGGAAAATCTCTTTGTATCACTTCAGGAAGTAGATTAGCTTTGTCACTGTGTCTGTTTAAAGCATTATTTTGACAGCGCTGTTTCTGGTAGTCCTGTAGTTAGGGAGTGCTGAACCACGTCCTGTCAGCTGATGACATCTGACCACTGCACTGAGAGAAAGTATTTCAAAGTATTAGGAAAAATTTGACTGATTGTGCAACTGTGCTTTCACACTACTGCATTTATTTGGTGATCTGAAAATCCTACCTAGAGAAAAAAAAATGCAAATAAGGAACAACTATTTCTGGTATTGCTGAAGGCTCATTCCAAACAAGCTGAGCTACGGTTTTATTAGGCATCAGACAAATAAGTACTTTCTGTCCTTAACTGGGGACTTCCCAGAGACAGTAGTATGCTTTGGGGAGATGGCTGACTTGGCAAGAAAACCCAAGATCAGTGAGTCCTTAGCTGAACTGTCTTTATTACAATACTAAAAATAATGCCCATAGGTCAGAAGGACCCCTGCCCAGGTAAAGATAGTTCCCGTGAGCATGCATGGAGTCAGCAGTGTTAAAAATGTATAAAAATTTCTAATAAATCATCATGAGGAGAACAGACTGGAAAACTACTGGTTTTGTAACTTTTGTGTATAAATATTGCGCGGATAGTTTCCTGCATGTGCTTACTTTGTGGGAAACCAATTAGCACCCAAGCTTGCACAGTCCTGAAATAAAGAAGCAGTGTCTGTTCCAAATGTGAGACTTATTGGACTCCGGATGACAAATCCACGTTTCAAACAACAGCATGAGAGGCTTCCCAACATAAAGATAACCATGTATTTTGCATATGACATATGCAGGAGAGATAACTTCATCCTTACTTAAGTGTTTTTGTAATACCTTTATAATCTCATATGCCCTAAAAGTTTGGGTACTTTGTTTGATGTCGTGATAAAATGTACACTTTTAATGACTGTCTTAAGGAGAAAATATTGCAGCTACTTAACATCTAGTTAGTATGTTGAAATGAATATAGCAGGTTGTTTGAGGAAGGAAAATAAACTGTTTATTTTGGCACATATTTTATTACACCATAATGTACATTATATAAAATATTTATCAGATACTAATATGAGTAGATATTCTGATATTCTGCCAAGGTAAACACATAGTAGAGCTTCATTGCTTTATGAAAAGAGTATTTTAGGGATTGAGAATGGAGTTGATTTTAAATGCATGAAAATAAAGTGCAAGTTTGTGGTTTGATAAATTCAGAAAGATTCTTGTTTTTTTTCTTTTCCTTTTTTTGAATCTTGTAAGAATTGAAGACATGTTACAGTAGATACAGAGAAGAAAATGTTCGATTTTGGTACTGCAACACTTTTTTGTGTGCAATGGAAAAAACCTTTTCAGTAGACAAATGTTGTAATTTTAATGGTTTGGGATTTCTTTGAAAATTGCACTATAATCTGTTGATTTTATAGAAGAGATGATTGTTCCTTTTTCTTATGGAACCTGGTTCTGATGAAAGATACTAAAGTGTGTGCCACTACAGTAAATTTTCCATGGGGTTTTTCTGTTTCTTCAGCTGATTTGTGTCCAGTTCTGGGCTCCTCAGTACAAAAAAGACAGGGATCTCTTGGAAAGAGTCCAGCGGAGAGCCACAAAGATGGTGAAGGGCCTGGAGCATCTCCCCTATGAAGAAAGGCTAAGTGATCTGGGTCTGTTTAGCCTTGAGAAGAGAAGACTGAGAGGGGACCTGATCCAGGTCTATAAATATCTAAGGTGTGGGGGGCAAAGTGGCGAGGCCAGACTCTTTTCAGCAGTGTGCGGAGACAGGACAAGGGGAAATGGCCAGAAGCTGGAGCATAGGAAGTTCCGCACCAATGTGCGCAAGAACTTCTTTACAGTGAGGTGACGGAGCACTGGAACAGGCTGCCCAGGGAGGTTGTGGAGTCTCCTTCTCTGGAGATATTCAAGACCCGCCTGGACGCCTACCTGTGCGACCTGGTGTAGGGAGCCTGCTTTGGCAGGGGGGTTGGACTCGATGATCTCTGGAGGTCCCTTCCAACCCCTACGATTCTGTGATTCTGTGATTTGAGAAGTGTCATGTAAAAACTTTTAATAAATAAAAACAATAAAAATAAATATGAAGTCACAACTTTCCCTGCTCCTAAGACTTGTTTTAGTTCACATTGTGTTAATGTTTGCAGTTGCTTATACCAAGCAAGCACTCTTGTTATCTAGGGAGCTAATTATGAGTTGTGAGTACAATTTTCCATTATGTCACGTTTATAGAATAATTTAAGTTGATAGGAATTTCTGGAAGTCTTCTAGCCTCAGCACAAGGTCAGAACCAAGCCAAACAAGGTAAATTGTTCACAAGCCTGTCAAGTTATGAACATTTCATAATTTTACAATCTCTTCAGGCAACCTGTTCTAATATCTGATCACTTCATGGTTTGAGGGATAAAAGACAAAACTTTCTGCATCTCAGTAGAAATTCCTGTTTTGCAAACTTACACCACTGCCATGCACTTCCCTCAGATGGGTTGGTTTCCACTTTCTCTGTACTCTCATTCCTAAGCAGCTGTGGAAAGCTGTAAACCTTCCTTTGTGGCACTGAGTATTTTGACTTTGTCTGCCAGAGCACCCTCAAGGACTTTCACGGGGACAGTTTCACAAACCTTTAAAAAACATAGACAATTTGTTGAACTGTCAGATACAACAGACAGAGGACTGCCATTGATAAATATAGTAAGTGCAATTGTGCTAATATATGACAACAGTATTAGCAAAATAAATGCTATTTCTTGGTGTTCTTCACCAAGAGGTGAGGGTACAATGCTTACCAGGAAGGCATTTCTGTTGTGGAAGAGGGAGAGCATGGTTTCCCATGTCTTCTGTCTCTCTTCTTGCTTCTGTCATTTAGCCTCTTTTCTCTTTTCCCTTCCCCTTTCCTACCCTTATTCCTCCCTAAAATACTTTCCTAATCTTAGCAATACTTGGGTGGAGAGTCAGATATTATAGTCAGGTTCTTCTTAGAGCTCATATTCATATTTATAAAGAATTAACTTCAATATTAATTTTGCAGATAATGAAACATTCTCATTCTGGACACCACAGCCTTCAAGATTCTGTGCTGAAGCCATTTCTCGCTTTATCTTTCAACCAAAACAGGAGCATCCTGCCACCACGAGACTCCTCTTTTATTTGCTTTTCATGCAGATCCTGTGTGTCTCTATCCCCAAGGCTGAGGTAAGAAGAGATCTGCATTTTTCAGTCCCTAATGTGCAAATCCCACACGCCAGTAGTTTTTGTTTCTGAGGGACAAAATCACTTTTCAAGTTTTTCCTCATCAGTTTTATTTTCCACGTGATCCTACAATGGACTTGCTGGAGTATGTTAGGAACTATTGCAGTGGGGAGCTGAAAGCTGAGCTTAGCGTGCTCCAGATGCAATTGAGTTTAAGTTCAAGGTGGTGGGCCTGGGCTGTCCCCTGGACTTGCTGGCTGCATACCTCTGAACATGTCCCAGGATGTGGTAAGCCGCCTTTGCTGAATGGCATGCTGCTCATCCTCATGCTCTCTTTGTCCTCTAGCCAGTCAGTGTCTGACCTGTATTGCTCTGTGGGGTTACTCTGTCCCATATGTAGAACTTGCAGTAATTTTTGAACTGTTGAGAAAATTTCTGCTCCAATAGGCTTGTTCAATTATCTTTATCCCCAAAAGAGATAGAGGAGAGTCTTTAGCTTTCTTTATTTGAATAAAGGGAGAGAGTGCAGTAGGGCATATCCCTGTAAGGTCTCTCAACCCTTCAGAAATCACAGCTTTCCCTTAATCCTTCTTCCCAATGCATTACCACTCCTCCTTTCCTCACTGGCTGAAATACTCGGAGATTACAGACTTCCTGGTCCACCTAATATGTGTTCCTCCTTATATGTGACCTATTCCACCTATGCAGTAAGTACAAAGTCCATAAGTTCAAGTTGTCCATAGACATTTGAAATTAAACTCTTATTTGATGGAAGTGTACAGACCAAGTGGAAGGTAATTTGCAAGTTTCTGTATAACAATTTGTGATCGAGGGCATCTTGCAAGTCTCTATGTAATTTGCAAGGGCATCTTCAAGTCTCTTTTATCTCAAACTTCTTGAAGTTCTAGTTAACCTATTTTTCCAGCCTCTTAAGTTCCTTTAGAGTAGCATGCTTCTTCTCAGGTATGTTGACCATTCTTCCCAAAGTAATTAAGTAGGCAGACTGCCTGATGGCATACTGTATTCCACCATCTGGATCATTAATAAAGACATCAAACATTACTGCTGCCAATTTAGAATAATAGAATCATTAAGGTTGGAAAAGACCTCTAAGATCACCAAGTCCAATCATCAACCCATCCCCACCATGCCCACTAACCCATGTTCCTCAGTGCCCCAAGCACACATTTCTTCAACACCTTGAGGGACAGTGACACCACCACCTTCCTAGGCAGTCTGTTCCAATGCATAAACACTCTTTCTGGGAAGAATTTTTGCCTAATATCCAACCAGAACTTCCTCTGGCACAACATGAGGCCATTCTGTCTCATC